CCTTATAGTTCGGTCTTGTCAAAGGTCGCTAAGAGTGAGGTTTCTAACCAGTGCGAGAGAGTGATTGTTAAGCCTGGGTTTTTGAAAGATATATTCCACAGAAGTGGAGTGTCCGAGTTCCCCTTCTCTCCTATTTTATATGCCAGTTGGATGATTATTCTTGTACTGTTGCATTCCTTGCAGGATTATTGGCAAAACATCTTTAGTTTCCAAAGTCAATCTCCACAGAATTTCACCAGATGTTTAGGCATATTATTTCTATTGAAACCCTGAATCTGTCAGACGTTTTCAGATTATTCCCTTAAGACAGCTTCTGTCTGGAAAGTTCCAGGCTGCTTGTCATCCGGCTCTGCTTCTGCATACAAGTAAAGAAAATGATGCAGCAGTTCAAAAATGGCTGAGCAACTTAGAAGATAACATGTTTCTAAGGTTTTAACAGAAAAGGCAAATTGCTTTCATAGTAACCTAGCTTAGCTATATTTCTATTGCCAGCTGAAACCAGTTTCATCTTATGTTTGAATACACACAACAGGATGACTTTCATCAGAACATACAAACAAACACATTATAGGAACCTGTAATGTGCACACCCATTTAAACTTCCAGGCGAAGTTTAAAGCATCATTGGTGAAAAATCTGACTGTACCCAGAACAATAGCAAGAGCCTGGAACCAAAACGTGTGAAGGGAAAACCAACCAACCTCCTCCCAAAACAGCTGCACATCACTGATTTGTAAACCCAAGAAATGTCTTTCCACGCTCATGAAAAGGACTGGCACAAACCAACTGGTATCTACACCTAATCAAGAAGCAAATACATTGCACACAGAAGTAAGTGTTTTGAACAGCAGCTTTGTAAGCATAAATTTGAACTTGCACACTGTTGATTTGCTTCTTGACAGATAGAAGCTGTGGTTTATTTTTTCTATAAAACCAAGGTAGCTTCCCCTCTCTACTATTTTTCCGCAGTTGGATTTCAGGTGATCATTATCAAGGACATTTCTATGACATCTCATAATATGTATGACAATTATATATACATTTTAATAATTCTATACATTTTAATAATGGACTTTCAACTCCTATCTTCGTAACAGGACATCTTAATATTTTGTCACATTTCTAGACCACTTCAGAAAGATTAGGTGGTATCCGCTGAGTCTGCAGAGAGCTAAATTCTATGTAAGAATCACTAAATTACTTCTTTCTCTCCAGTCCTAATCCACAGAAATGTCAAGATTGAATTTCCTATTCTGCAGAAGCGTAACAAGTAATTTACATTGTCAATACTAGATGTGATTTAATTAAAAAGCCTGTCAAGTTAAGTGTCATGGTAGCACTACAGCAATACATCCAGAATTTTCTTATAGCACAAGTCTCTTTCAAATGGTGCTAAAGTAATCTTACATATGGGATGTCCAGTCAGGTGTGTCTACTCCACTTTATCTGTGCCACATTTGGGCAAGAAACACCCCTGCAACACAAATACTGGCTAAGATACAGCTTACACTGTCAACTTCTCCCTGAAAAATTATAAGGGTCAGAGGTAGGTTGGATTTTTGTGTGCATTTCCTGCTGGGATTATTTTTGGTAAGAAAAATAGATCCATTTTGCAGTGAAGCATGCTTTGGACTTGGGATGGAAGATGACAAGGTTCACAGTGATGTTCTGTTCACCTTGCAGCTTATTCCAGTCTCATGCTTCTCATGTAGAAAGCATCATCACCTCCCATCACTCCCTGCTGAGAGGGGACAGCTGTCTGGAGCTTTAATAAACATTCAAAAATACCAGACCAGGGCTACTGAACATCCTCAAGACAGTGGATTGATCCTTGAAAAGAAGTTTGAATTTGTTGCTCCATGGTTTTAGTTCTGCTGGAACTGATGGTTTTCCTCCTCATAAGGACGAATCAAACAAGGCACACGAACAAGCGTTTGGAAATGAACTGAGTAGCTGAGAGCCCAGAGTTGAACAAGTACCAGACTTCACACTACTCTAAATGTTAAGTATTAAACATGACATCCACAACACAGAAGTTCTTTTTTTTTTTTCCTCTCCAGCTCATCAGCTAAGTTGAATGACAGATTTTTTTGACTTCATCCTTAGTTGAGGAATTTTTCTTTTCAAATGGAGCTCTACCGTTTAAGAACGGTACATGATACACTTGTTACACAACTAATCTCAGCTAAGAGAAGAAAAAATTAGTACTAATTAGCATTAGAAAACACTGATCACAAGAGAAGACCCTTAAAATGACTTCATTCAAGCATATCTTGGTTTCACTCTTACACTACTGAGTTTCCAGTAGCTGATAGTTGGTTTGTCTACCACAACTAACATTAAAAATCACAAATACAATAAAGGTGGACAGTGATTATCATATTTTCCTCAAAGTACAAAGATTAAGGCACACTCAAAAGAATTACCATATTAAGTACTGATATCATGTTAGCCTTATTCAGGCCCACACCCTTCTAAAAAATCAATAAACTTGAAGGGAAAAGAAGTGGCCAGTAGACAAAGGAGAGACAGGAGAGGTCAGAATCAGTGCAGATTTAGAATAGACTAATGCGCCTATAATCAAATTGCTCTAAGTACAGACCTTTAAGTACTGAGCTTATGGTTTTTGTTAAGCTACAACTAGGTGGCATCATCTGACTGATTTCAGGGTGAATTTCAGACAGTACTATGTACTTTGTAATCTGAACACAAGTCAACCGGCCCATTAAGTACCTTGAGATTTGTTGAGTACACATTCACTGTATCCTTACAAAACTCCTCATCTCATCATCAAGAAACACAAAAAGCCTAGATATATTTCATTTTTAGATTTATTATTATTTCAGAGGCACTTAATGTCTTACATTTATATAGCGCCATTTCCCCCTCCAAAGCACTTTACATATTTACATACAGGAATGTTTCCCACCACTGTTGAAATGCAGCCATCTGACTACTACCAGTACCATCATCAAAGCACCAACAGTTTGAGACTGAAAACATTCATCAGTACTTTGTCTTACTAAGATAGTTCAGAATTCCAATTTACAAACTTCCAACTTGTGCTATTAAAAAGACCTAACAGCTAAAATACAGTATCACAGTGCAATTCTGCAACATAACTGAGACTTGGATCATTTTCATTAGACTTTTTACAATCTTTCATTAGACAAAGTCTATCTCAAAATACTTTAATGTAAGGCCTTTTAAGAACATCATTCTAAAACATCATTCGTTTTTATACTTTCTTTATTAGCCTCTCTTACAATCAAGTGCAGAAGAATATTCTTTTCTTCCAGTATATTTAGAAACACTGTCCTGGCCCTAAGGAGATACTAGTATACTCAGTTTCAATTAACTTCATGGCATCTAAAGGCAAACTATTCCTCCTTGGTTAAGGAATTGGATTTTTAATTGTTTTTTGTATTTTTAGTTTTTAAAATAAATCTGAGATTACACAAAAATCTGTTATTAACCAACTGACTTGTAAAGTACCTTGGGATTTGCTGCTGGGGCTGTGTAAGTGCATGGTTTTGCTTGTCAGTACTAGAAATACATTAAAGTATCCCAAGTTCACTACTCCACTGCAAAGTCTGCCCTAGTCACAAGGATAATAGCAACTTTCTCATTTTAGAGTGGTTTTTTTTTCGTTCTCCCTCTAAAAGGCTAGTAAAACATCCCTCCCAAGAGAAGAAGTTGCATTTGTGCTGAGAACTTTCACAAAAAAAAAAAAAAGCAGCTATCTGGCATCCCTGTTTTCATGGTTACAATTAAAAAAGACTACCACCTCACATACAGCGTGCTGCTACCTGCTATGTTATGGCTGATATGAGAATCTGAATGAACAGAAAAAATTAGTAAAACGAGATATCTATTTGCCTTCTTGTGGACCAAGCACAAAAATTTATTCTGGTACTCCCTTCTCTTGAATACACCATATTTCAGAGAGGCTTTTCTGATTTTCATTGATGCAGTATACTATGAATCTACTGTGGTCACTAGATTCTTACCCCAGGATAGCTGTTTGCATTTGAGTACTATGAAAGAACAGTCATACTGACAGGTTTGGGCAAGAACTCAGATAAAAGGAAAAATATTAACAGGTAGCAATTTCAATGTGAAAGATGATGACTAATCAAATTGGGTAAAAATTAGACAGCAGTACATCCAAGTATATATCCATTTTATAAAAAGTTGGGGTTTGTTTTTAATCTAAACCTTTGACAACAGATGCATAGAAAACAGATGTATTGCATATTTTATGCATGCCTTCATGTAGTGCATTCCTATATTATATCTTATATGGAACACTAAAAAACTGCTAGACCTTCACTGTACAACAGGTATTGTAAGTTTTCGTTTTAAAGCCTAAACAGCAATTCAGTTTGAGTTATACCTTCCTATTCCCCGATCACAAAAAAATCACCTTGCTGCATTTACGTTTATCAAAGTCGTATGGCAACCACCGTAATCATTTGTATGGAAAAAACAGTTCCAGCATTTATAGAGTTTGGTTGCTTCAACAGGATTTGGCAGCTAGAACAAGAAAACCAACAGGGACTAGAGATCCTTAGACAACAGTGAGAATCAACGGTGAATAATTTGTATCAGAAATGAAGAAACCTCATGACAAATAAGAGATAAACGTGAAGGACGAAAGCATCATTTTAGGTTTCACAGTCCAGAAGACCAAACAGGAAGGACCATTATCACTTATTTTCAAACTCAGATCTGAAGGGCAGCTAAAATCATGAGGATATCTGATTTTTTTTTTGAAGCAGAAGAAAAGGAGGAACTTGGAAAAAGCAACTGCTGCATTACAGGACTGAACACACACAAGACGGACATACAGACACACAGTTCGCTATTTCACAGATTAACATTTTTGAGTCCATTCTAATCCCTACTGATTTTAAGAGAAGAATGATTGGACCCACATTCTCTTCTCTGTTTTTACTTGTGGCCATTCATTTCTTCAGAGCTGAAAACATGCACAAGATTCTTTAATACAAGGAATATCACCTTTATTCCCCCCTCTTCCTCTTTTTTATTTTTGTGTCAGTCCTTTCCTCCCTCAACCTCCTCTCAACTGATTACCATAGTATTTCTCTGACAGAAAAAGGGCAGCTGGGGTGGGGGATGGATGAAGCTCTTGCTAAACTGAGAGAGACTGGGATTGCTGAGCAGCAGAGAACTTCATGGACAGACAGATGTTAAAGAGAATCCAAAACCCAGCAAAGAACAAGCTTAATTTTTTTTACAGAAGGAATTAGTTTTGTCTTTTAAGTTCAGTCCATCCTTTATCAGCAAGAGCATACTGCCTACATCACAAGGCTTGGTCAAGGAAAAGGCTCTTCCATTTAACAGGGCACAGATCTTAAGATGGGAGAATGTCCTGCACCGTGTGAGAACTCAGAAATATGCATAGAACAGAGCAAAAATCCAAGACTGCTTTGCAGGAACGAGGAGGTAGCAACCCTAATTTTAACAGGGCTTTTCACTGAAGGGAAAGAAGGTCTACAAAAGTCAAATCAGCTGATTTCAAATGGTTTGCATCCCAGGATGAATCAGATTACACTGATTTAAGCCCAATTTAATTTAGGCAGGTTTTTAAACCACAAGAATAAGGACATTCTTAGTACATATCAATAATTAAACCAACATATACACAATTAGCAATATCCTACATAAAAGTAAATGTTTAACAGCTTGTTTTGGGTTATCCTAGTTATTTCGTTTAAAAAACCAAGCTGAGTAGTTGTATCGTACAGTGTTTGCCATTCTACACAATTCCTGTAATCATCAGTCTCTGCAGCAGTTCAGTTCATAACTTCAAGATCCAAATTCAATTGTGTCTTCAGTTATTTTCTTGAACTCGTAGTTTCCTCTGCCATCCATATGCAAGTAAAACTGAAATAAAAGAGCATATGTTATTAACCACCTAAAAATTGCCAGGTCTACAAATGCTTAAATAAACTATATTTTCAAGTAGTTCTAATGGAAAATCTTAAACTCAGCTAGACAGAGGGTAAGCTTCTCCCACCTCATGTTTCAATAAATCCAATGGCCTCTGGAAAAAAAGAGTTAAAATTGGTTTTGTTCATATCATCCATCAGTCTGTTAATGGTCACACCTAGACTTAACACTGCTATATTGAGTTTTGTGACAATATACTTAAGGTACACATTCATCTCTGTGTATTAATTCAGTATTTTTCCCCAGACATACAGTCTATCTGCATAAAAAGTAATAACAATAGTAAAATCTTAGTTTAGAAGAAAAGTCGTCCATGTACTAGAGATGAACTTTTTTTTGTGTGTAGATATATTAGGCATCTTGAAAACAAAAACTCCATGCTGCTTATTGGATTCTGGTTCAAGGGTTTTTTTGAGGCTAAGAAAGAAGACTTAAGTATCTAGTGAGCCTTTCACATTTTTGAGGCTACTTTTACAGATGCATTTAAGGATTTTTGGTTACTTTTCCCTTCATAACTAGAAGCACAGAAATATTTCAAAGAGTGCAACTGCATTATGAAAGTAAAACCTTTTTTAAAGTAGCAGAACATGAACTATGAGGATGTAAACCGAGAACACCTTGAATTGTAAAGTCAGTTTAATAGCAACTCAAACAAGAAAACTCTTACTACCTACAGATATCCTTAGCAAAAGCAAAGGCTACATACATCATGATGTTTCCAGAGTGACTTTCTGTGCGAGACAGTGAAGAGAGTGATGCCAACCTATATGAAGAACATACACACAATAAAGCAGTTAATTTTCCTCATGGCTTGGCTGTTACTTATTTTTCAGCATGATATCAGCTGAAGAGCTTAACGTCATAAACAAAAACTTCCAGAGTCTATTATTAACAGTATGTATGTGTAGCCTTAATACAAGATTTTGCATTAAAAAAAGCAGGAGGGATTTATATTTTTTAATTGATTTAACCATTCTTTTGGTCCTAATGATTTGGCAAAACATAGAACGAACGGGGCAAAGGAGGTAAGGTAAAAGTAAAACAACAAACCTGGTGATTAAAAGAAGTCTATTTAAACAGCAAAAAAAGTCAAAACAACAAAAGCACCAATTAAAGGACAAAATGGCTCTGAGGATAAAACAGTGTAACATTTTTTCTTTCCTCAAGGACAGCTTAACCAGGAATTCTATTTTTCGGTAACCCGCAGTAGCCATTTGGCAACAGTAACTAAGACAAAAGTACAAATGAACGTTCAAGTTAACAGAATAACAAGTACATGCAAAACCAACTTAGAAAATTGTCAGGGTATTGATATTAATGTTGTAAAATTAGTTCAAGAAATAACACCCATTCATCTGCAGAGTCCTCATCTAGTATCAATTTACTACCATAGAAGGCTCCTTAAAGTTCTCACTTCAAGTTTCAAGCACATATTTCAGTGGATGCACAGCTTTGCTCCATTACCAGTCTGAGCACACTGCTACTCAATAATTAATGTTATTTCAAGCCCCTTTTCCCAGGCTAGAGGTGTGAAACTGAATCTTATTGATTTCACATGGCACTACATCGAAGCTGGAAAAGTGAGTATACGAGGGAAAGGAAAAAGAAAACTGTGCTTAGTATCACCATGTAGAGTGCTTGGCTTTTCATATCCCAAAATAGATGGAAATGTTAATTTCCAGCCTTTCACTTCTGTTGCCTGGCAACAAAGAAACCTCTCACAAAATGAAAAAGTATAAAATTTTATATTATTTGTTATTCATTTGACATTCTAAGAGTTCATCTGGAAAAGTAAGGTTACTTACCTGTTAGTAGGAGTTCTCTGAGGCCACATGTACGTTTAAACTACCTTAAGACTACAGTACAATTATTGAATTCTAGTGTGCATAAAGGGTCCTTGTATGCCCTTCTAAGTGTTTTTGGGTTTGGTGTGTGTAATTTACACTAGGCATAAGGAATGGTGCACATTGTGTCATTTTAACCATGATAGAGAGGTATAAATCTAGGAACAAATAGCTTACCTTTCGGCAGTGGCTGTAAATGTAGCCTTCTACGTCAACGCTAACAGCACTGGTGCATTCATCCAGAATTGCAAATTGAGGCTTATGATAAAATAACCTTGCCATCTGGAATGCAAACCAAAAAGCTACTGTGGATACATAACTACAACCAATAACGCAGTGCTCGAAGTTAAACTAAGAATTACGTGTCCAAAAATGTGCCATGGCAAGGGAATTTCTTTTAAGTTGGCACCCACTGAAGCCTGAAAATCTGAGAGCTGTATATTATCTTTCCTCTTTCTTTTTTGAAAATCAGTATTTTAGAACTTCTGTTTATATAATCAAAGCATAAGTTGTGTTAAAAGGGCAACATTTCCTATTAAATTTTCAGTACAATTTTAGGTTCTTTTCTCAGTATTCAGGTATGACACATTTTGAGGGTTTCTTCTTTAAGTAAGATAATAATATTTAGTAAAAAAATCCCAATGCTTACAATTCAGATTACATTTTCAACCTATGTCCTGTATTTGTGAAGTATTTATGCTTTAGAGACGTACTGCCATTCTCTGTTTTTCTCCCCCGCTGAGTACATCCATCCAATCCTGAACACTATCCCAGCCTCCTTCACGTTCCAAGATTTGTCCCAACTGGACATTATCCAAGTACTCCTTCAGCACCTTTTATTGAAACAGGAATGACAAATAGAGTTTAAATGAACTTAATAAATTATTGAAAAAGGTTTTAAAGTTATACTATTATACTGGTGTACTATCAACCCTGGTAAATATTAAAAACAAACTAAATGCAGTGTTTTTAATAGCAATTCCAGAATTTTTAAATCTGGATCATTACTCATCTTAAGATGAAAGGTTAAGGAACTAGTTATCATTACCTGGTCAGAAATCCCTTTCTTTCTCTGATCTTCTAAAGTATCTGGATATATAACTTGATCTCTGAGTGTTCCAAGAGTCATATATGGTCTCTGAGATACAGTTAGAAACAAAAAAGTATGTCAAATATTTCTAAATATAGTCAAAGTATGAAGAAAGAGAACACTATTGTCATCTAGAGTACTTTGCCTCACCTGGGGAACATAGAACAACTTTCCTCTTACAGGTTTCGTTAAACGCCCACCAAACAAAGGCCACAACTGCAACAAGAAAAACATTTAAACTTGACCAAAAAAGTCCAATTACAACAGTGCTTTGGATTCTCCCCATTTATTTTAAAAAATTCCCTTACCTCACCAAGGACACGAAAAAGCGAGCTCTTCCCACACCCATTTGGCCCACAAATCAGAACATTTGCACCAGATCGAACCTAAAAATGCAAAGCCAACACATTAAAAGGGTAGTGAGAAAGTATGGTGGAAGCTTATACAAACAATAAGACATGGTGGTATCCTCATAGACTTGTACATAGTACTTTCTGACATTACAAGGGGTAATTTCCACCAAAAAATATCTTTTTTCCCCAACTAGTTTAGCACCAACTGCAGCTGGAAGAAAACACACTTGTAACAACAAAAACATTTTTTGGGAAAACAGTTTATTGCCTTTTTTTTTTTTTAAACTAACGTGATGATTAATTTTATTCCAATTTAAGCATATCATATAAGCATCTCCCCACTTTGGTTTGCACATTTTTTTATAAATCAGATTACCTCTGAAGTTATAATCTACACTTTCAAAATTTGGTATGCATACAGCTTTTTGTGACATTCAAAAACTTACCTCAAAGTTAAGGTCTTGAATCAAAACATCTCCATTAGGTGTCACCAATGGAACATGATCAAACCTATTTGTATTGCAACATTAAAAAAAACAAAACAAAACCAAACACAAATCAGTTGCCTAAGAGGAGCTAATACTGCATGCTTACTCAGAGATTTAAGGAACAGGGCAAGACTTCAGTACTACTTCATTCAGTACACTGTCCCAGTTTCCTACTGTTAACAGCTAATGAAGTTCTTGAACCCAAAACTGGTACCTCAATGTTTAATGCACATCTACAGATTTTTTTTTTTCCCCTCCCAAATATTTGTTTTCTGAATCCTTTTAAGCCTTTGGTCTCAAAACATCTTGTGGATATAAACCTACATCTAAGGACGCACTTCATTTTAGACCTATTAGTGGAAGCGTATTCCATTGGTTCTAGGATACACAATGAATGACTTCTTTGCTCACCTTCACCTTGTTTATGTGTTTGGGTTTTTTTTTAAATAAAAATAGCTTTATTATGTACTTTCTCCTTTCCCTCTTCCCTCCCACCTTTCCTCTCTGCTCCGCTATCTGATTTCCACATTGACCAGACTGAGGCCATCTAATCTCTTAACTGTCTTTACTTTATGCCTTTAAGTAGTAGTAGTACTACATCAGAACTACTTTCCTCAGACTGCAAACAACTGAGGAATTGACTGCTACTTGAGTACATCAACAAACTGTCCAAGCATACAGAAATACAAGCGAATATTTTGAAGCTTAATACAGATTTGTCCCTGATTTTTACAGCTGAATTATATCATGGAATAAAATCTGTAACCAACATACTTCTAAGAAGAAATTTGATAAAGTGTTAACAAAATGGTCTGGGAAGTCATATTCCAAAGGACAGGAGGAAATGTTACCAGAAAAGACTAAGTCCAGATAGCATATTATGTCTTCTGCTAACATGAGAGGACAAGGATTGACTGACAGAATAGAAATGCTGAGTAGGAGTCAAGTGGAATTATTTGTAAATAAACTATAGTACAACAGGAATTGCATATTGTAATAATGAATATTAAACCCTCTATTAACAGTGGTAGAGGGAAAGACTTAAAAGTTAGACTACGTTAAAAATATTGAAGTTGTGGAAACTTTGTATACATACTTGATAAGGTTATCAGTGTTGATAATTTCTCCAGATCCAGGTATCAAAGGCAAAGCTTGCTTTTTATCTGCATCTTAAATTAAGAAAAAAGTATTAGAGACTGGAGCACTACACAAAGATGCACTTATTTCATATTATGTCACATTTACCTTTTTCTTGTGATATCATAGTACGTTGATATTTGCCACTATTCAAGTCCTTCAGAACCTGCATTAATTCTGTAATCCGAGCTGTGAAACTAAAAAAAAAACTAATAAATGAACTACAAGTAATTAATCTTTATAAGTTTTAGAAATCCATAGAAGATCTAATGAGTACTCTGTTAAACTGTCAAAATGACAAAGTTACTCAACCCAGCATAGAAACAGAATGTTCACATTTTAGAGTTGCCCTGAAGTTGTCCAATATTCACAACATTTACAAGAACTTTTTCTTGTAATAGCCAAACATTTGATAATTTTTCATCTTAAGATGTTAAAAAAAGTTTGGTAAATAATCAATACATAATTGATTTATAGTCATTTGACAACATCATTTCAATTAAACATTCTAACTGTATGCTGCTACTACTCAGATATGAAATTACTAGTGGACGTAATTAGGACATCTTCAAATATGTCTTCAGCATAATATGTTTTTAATTTCTATATGTTATGGGTGCTGCAATGAACAAGGCACATAAGCTCATTTTATTTTAATTCTACAGTCAGTTTCCTAAAACGAGATGAGAAACTAACAACATAACTTTTAACAAAATACTTTATGCAACCAATATTATGCTTACCCAGCCAATCTTGTCATTTCACGGCCTGCTAGGACTATTCTGCCCAAAGCTTGAGACATTCTCAGTAACATTCTTCCACTTTGGTAGTAATCCTAGAATAGAAGAAAGTTTCTTTATGTAGACTAACAAAATTTAAGTTCAGGAAATTGTTTTAATTCTGTTATATTTACCTCCAAAAGTTCTGCATGAGTACTATTCTGATAACGAGGATCCGCCAGGTTCAAAAATGGACGACTAACAACCAGGTAACCAACCACAGTGGCAAGGTCTGCAGTTTAAGAGTAAATATTAAGCTACACATTAACTGAAGGAGTAAGAAAAAAGGGAATTCTCATGTAAAACGTGTAGCACTTTATTATTTATAGCAGTCCATTAGTACTGGACAAACACTTACATTTGGCAATGATCGTATCAATGAAACCCATAGAGAACCGGAACAGGATGAAATTATGCAAATGTTCCACCTGGTAAGTTACAGAAGAAAAAACGTCAAACTATATCAGTATTTGTTTTACTATCTTTTATTATTTTACAGAAGTTTGATTCCAAATATATTTCTTTTTCAGTAAGTCACAGACACGTCAACAACGTCTGTCATCTAACTGTGACAAGCACTGCACAAGTGTCCCTGCCAGCAAAGCCTTGCACTCTAGATCAAAACAACCTACCCATGAAACTAGGCAGTGAGAGAACAGTAATTGTGGTGGGTGAAAAGGAGGTAAGTGGTAAGAGAAAGACTATTCTACCAGAGACTTGCGTTCTGCTCATGGCCTACTAATTTATTTTTAAACCTAATGACTGTAGCAGCATAAACACCAAGCCACTATAATTCAATTTATATTGAATTATATCAAGAATCACCATGATAATACTAATTAAAGTTCTGCTTGAAGTGTTTTAAAAGACAAAAGAAGTCTTACCAGTTTACGGAAGGTTTTGTGAATAGTCTGTTTTTCTCTCAAGTTTCCATTATAAAAAGCAATTTCTTCACTAAAAAAAACAACAAAACAACAAATCCATAAAGAATGCAACTTCATTTTGTTAAACAGTCTTTGGAATAGTCTGCCACGAAACACAGGAATATAGTTCTTTTATTTCACAAGGTAACTAAGAGTTTGTACTTTTTTACAACTGGAGAACATAAGCTTATTATACCTCAGCTACAGTTTATCTTTTGAATTAGGAATATAATGCACATATGAATTATTTAATATTAATCTGCATAAAGATGCAAACACTTTGCTCAGAACCGATAGCATCAGATTTTTTTATCATGTCTTGCATTTACACCACAGTATTACTTTGTCACTTATATCTTGCCATCGAAGTAAATCTATACCTGTTTGTAATAAGCCGTGAGTTGACGTATCTGTACTCCCCTTCATATTTTTGTTCTATAATAGTCATCTTGCCAATTGGTCTCCTTAAACGTGTAAGGAAAAACCCCGAAATAATCAAGTACGCCATCATGCTAGCTGGACCCTGAGAATATCAAAAAAGAATAAAAGCTTACCATCCAGATAGCCTCCAGTTGCAACATCTGTATCCAAAATACCCAGAAAGCATGAACCCATTGAGTCTCACCTCCCATCATGTTCCTTTCTTTTGTGCTGTAGGATACCGCTTTACTAATTTTAATGCTTAAATATTACTGAAGTGTGGCATGGCATAAAACCAAGGCATAAACTGAATTTGGCATAAACTGCCTGTAATAACTATTACAGAGAGCAATGCAAAGACATCTGAGACTGGAAAAATTACCTCAGTTCAGCTAGGCCTTACTGCAGTCTGCTTCTACAAAACCTACATCACATGTGCCAGAGCTACTTCTTGTCAAACCCTGAACATTTCTGATAATGTATCATTTTACTAAGTTGAAGAACTATTTCTGTAATGTTTCATCTTGAGAAGGGGTTGGGTGGAGAATATAACAGTCATACAGCACAATGCAAGGAATGGCTCCTCTTTGTAGAGGCTGTGAAGAAACAGAAAACTTTTCTCCCTTGAACAGAAGTCACTCCAGATAAAAGCAGCCAGAAGGGTACTGTACTAAACAGGATTCCCAAATAACTGCTAGAAGAAAACAAAGAACTTTCTTGTTTCTTAAAATAGTTGACCAAATGCCTGAAAATTCTGGGTTTTATTTTCCTTGCCTCAAGACACAGAGCACTGAAAGCACATAAAACATTAAGTGTAAAATCTTATTATCAGTATACCACTTCAAATAATGGATAAGTCTATAATTAACATCTAGAGTTTTCCTCAGACTCCAAATAGGTACAAGGCTATAACCACAGAATGGAAAATTTGCTTATAATGCTAAAAACACCACTCAATTTACCTGAGCTCCTATTGCACTTGTTAGCTTGAAGATATACAAAACTATATCCAAGAAAGGCTGTAAGAGAAACAGAAAAAAGCGTCAGAACACCAATATAACACGCATATAAAATGGTTCAGAAACCACCAACAACTCAAAGCACAGTTATAGCTCTGCATTAAAAGCACAAGTCCAGTTAACCTATTATACAAGCTAAACACTAAACCAAAAGTTATCTCAGCCACATAACATTATCTTGAAAACATTCACTCAAGAACTGAACGTAAAAGCATTGTGATCTTCAGATAAAGTACATACTGTACAAAAAAAGTACTTCACTAAGCAAAGTTGGACTAGACCCCATGATTACTTCTTAAACTGAAGCAATCGTGAGAAATACTGAGTAGAATAATGCCATATAGTGGGCTACGTACCTGATAGAAGCAATATTACAATTTGCAAGCATCCTGTTCCATACACACTCTCAAAGCTAGAGCAGCTGAACTACAGGTTTTGTAGCCAGAAGTTTTTGAACAAATCAACTTATATTTTGCTTTATACCTTCACTTGTATGAACAATATAGCATAAAAAAAATTCAGTCCAAAAATTTCAACAGTATTCTACTTTATTACCTAAACATTCTAAAATTTACACTAGAAAACATAGGGAAATGCTTATTCAACCACACTTCCCTACTCAAAATAATATTTGTATGTAACTCAAAGCTAACCATTGGTTTTCTTCTGAAACCTAACTAGCTGAGAAAGCACACTCATCACTGCTCATCTGCAAAAGAATTCGTTAAGTTATTTAAAAGAAAATGTAATACAAATTGTAGCAATCCACAACAAGGCTTTAGCAGAGGTCATGGCAACCACAGAGAGTGTGAAACAGTATCATAATTTTATTAGCACCATACTCCAAGCAATACACACGTAAACACAAGCAACTGTTTTGAGCTCTGACATCACTTCCTAAAAGTCCACAGCTATTACTCAAAGTTCCCTCTGAAAAGACTTACCTTGCTAAGGTTTGAGTACAGGTCCACTACACTGTTGCAGAATTTTTCCACATCCTGTGTAAGGAGCTGATCTGGATTAGCTATTCTGTTGTCCAGATTTCCCATTTTGTAGTATGTATAAGCTCTGAAACAAAACAATAGCTAAGTGGCAGAAAAAAATTCATTACCTGGGATCTCAAATAACTGGACCCCTCCACTTCATACAACTGAGATGGAAAGTAGTGCAAACATTAAATGACTGTATGGAGTTAACATAGCTTGTGCTTCTGCCGGATCAGATCCACATTAAATGCTGCAGAACTGTTTAGGCTTCTGAATGTCATAGTTGAAGCTCAGGCCCATGCTGCTCTATATACTGCTGCTGCACTTGGAGTTAGGAAACTCTCACAAACTCTGCATAAGCACACTTGACAACTAAAATTCAGTGCAGAAGGACACAAGCAGCTACTCAAGTTCATGCATCCAATTCAGTCTGCAGGATTATTAGCCCTATATGAAAGCAACTGAAGTACTTTAGGAGCTCACCTGGTAATGGAAGCAGCACAGTGCATTATTGTTTTTCCTAATTGAGCCAACTTTGCTGTCTTTGTATCTGTGCCATACACAACCTGGATGAGCCACTCATCCTTAACTGCACACTAAATGCAACCAAAAGCCTTTTCTAAACAGTACATCTAATCTATTAAGCACCTTGCACTTTGATCTGGTTTAATTTTAATCAATTTAGTTTTTAAAACCCTTGGACATTAACAAGGTGTTACTTACTTAAGATATTCCTCGTAAAGGTATCTGGTAAGCCTTACTCGGAAGCAAAGTTTCAATTCATTCAGACCATACTTCAGGAAGTTATTCACTAAAGAGATCTAAAATAAGAGACAGCATTTCCATATTCAGCTAACAAGATTTAATATACTTAGATCAGTTTGCAGCACAGACTCTGCAAACGCTTTAGACCAGGTGAATTCTCCCCTTGAAGTCAATATTACTATTAACACACCTAATACCAATCATAGAGCATCTGCAGGACCACTGATTAGATTTCGGTCTACATTTTTGAAAACTTCAGTTCCCAGTGGATCTCATCACATTAAAAGATTTAATATAAAACTATGTTCATCTAGTTTTATCTTCAGCTCTTCTGATAAGCTCTAGAAAAGAGCATTATTTGACAATCACTACCCTAAATTGATCAATGAGCTTTTAAATCTATAGCAAACCACGTACATGATCTAGTAGGCAGTAACAATTATTTCTATCTGGCACAGGTCAGAGATGTTGACAAGCTGAAGGAAAGTTAAAGGGTGGAAAAAAACATAAATCTCAGAAGAAGCTGTAAGAAATATAAAAATTAAAGACTAAGAAGAAATCTTTGTCTTCAGTGGTGCCAAAAGAATCCCACACCTACAATGCTGAAACATCCAATCCATAAGATGTTATTATACAGTACTACAGATGGCACGTAGTCAAAATTGCCATCAACAAAACCAACCTGAAAACCTAAACATATCTGTCAGAAAAATAGTTGCAATCAACAGGGAAACATGCTGACTAAATTCTCCCACACACTGGAGCCAGAAAATAAAACATGTCTTAATACAGACCTGCATGTAAAACAACTAATTTTCATGGGTTCAAGACACTCCTTTGAGATCTTTTCCTCAAATTCTTAATTTACATTTAAAATATGTTCTACTAAAAGGCTGGCAGAAGAAAAGCACTTACAGCAGGCATTGCAGCGATGAAGTTGAACAAATATTTCTTGAAATCTTTTCTGCTGCGGCCAATGATAGCACTGTAAACGACCATCAGCTAAGAATTAGTTACAAGAGAAATAAGGAAGTATAAACTAGCATGTCTCAAGTGGACAAATTCTCAGTGGATCACATAGAGGAAAAAACAAAATGATGAAAACCTGCAGGTGCAGCTATAGGATCAAATATGACAGACTTCTCTAAGTTAAGTGGTAAGCGACAGACTAAGCAATTATCTCCCTTCTGCTCCTGCAGTTACTGCCTACATTAAGGGCTGAGGAATTCATGGTCACAGAATACTAGTTCCTTTCCTCCTTTGCTTTCATAGATTCTCACAAGAGAGAAACAAAGCAGTCCTTCCATTCTGCAAAGTACTGAAAGTCTCTCCTGAAATACAATATCATTTTGAATTACACTTCAAGGCAAATTCTGACTCTCTTCAATTAGTAACAAGAGCAACAAGAATAATCAAAGGTCTAGAAAACACTTTCTAAACCATTAAGACTGAAAGCATT